ATATTGATGCCGGACGACGCGCCACGGCATAAGCTCACCTGCCCTTCGGGCAGGTGAGCTTAAAAAAGGATAAGAGGCTCAATGGGCCTGCATCGCTCACCTGGTATAAATCTCACACTTGCAACCTTANAATGAGTTATCTTTGTGAACCATTCACAAGTTGGAGTTTACAGTGGGAACAGATAACACAAACCCTTCGTCTGATACATACATACTTTATTTCTCTAACGTATTTCGAGTTTAGAGTTATTTCAGTGACTGCTAGATTGTTTTTCCTAAACATTTAGTGATTACCCGAAATTCAGCAATTACTAGACTATAGTTTTACTGTATGCTACTCAACTCATTCACCCCTGAAATTTCATAATGAACTATTCCAACCTTTGAACTGGAAGAGTTCAAATGTGTCTTCAGGAATGAATGAGTTAACATTACAATTTCCTGGTCAACACTTCTATAGTAACAATTTTTGTTTTTGTTAAAAACGTTGAACTTCAATCTAATCAAACACTGAATTTCAGGGTCAAACACTTGACTAATCAAACAAATGCTTGATCAGACTACAAAAACTTTTGTTATCAGATACTTCATGTTGTCAAAAATTCCCAAAAACCTGTCTAAACAGACACCTCATATTGTCATAGACTACAAAAACTTGTCTTAAAACACATGATTTTTTTCAGACTTAAATTTTTTCACTTCACATGTTTAAAGTCACGGGTAATAGAGCCAACGTCGTCAAAGTTGGTATGCTGGATAATTGCGTCCTTCGCCCTTAACATTTGATTTGTCTAAGCAAAAATGTACAATTTTAGATATTTCTCTACTAGAAGTACAGGTTCTTATCAAACATTAAAGTGGAATGCAGTCTGTACAGTGAAAGTGGTGATTACTTAGTAACATTTAATAAAATGTATAATGTGAGGATTACTTTCAAATATTTTAAAATAGCAGAGGGAATTGTACAAACTGTATATAAATAAATAACTCCTTCTAAAGTATACTGTGAAAAACAATAGCTCAATCTATAATATTTTTGCATTTACAATTTGGGATCATTGAAAAATATGCTCACAACCGTTGAGTTACAAATATTAAAAATATACAGAGAAATAGCTTATCTATGGTAATTCCCTACCTAATACATGTGGTTTATTATACTTTGTACATTTATCGTAGCTAAAATATTAATACACTGCTGGCAAACATGTGACAAACTCTGAAAAAGCAACATTTTTTCAATTTGATCCTGATTGTAACACACCAGCTTTGCCTATTGATCTGTGAGGAATACATGTATACATATACTAAAACATCAACAATAAATATATATATTATCACAACCAGTCAAAGGTTTATATACCGATAAGATTGTTCCATCAGTACATATACAACAGGTATTTTATGTACCAGTATTGGAGCTTAAATATCATAATTCTCTTTCATTTCTATGGTGGCTGATTTAATTAATGTGTCATTTTATTGTTTTGTTTTTTCAGGATAAGTCTTGCTCTTCGTCCTTTTACTCCAAAAAGACAAGAATGAAAAAACCTGAATTCTCATTCCTATCTTACTTCTCTTTATTTCCCTTTTTTGCCCTGAAAAGACAATACTGATCAAATTTGAATTCTTGTCCCCCCCCCCCATGAAAAGATGCAGCAAAAAGTTGAAACAACAAAATGGCACACATTGGCCAACATACATTTCAGATATGGATAACGTTAGTTACTCCAGCTTTTTCTGCTAAAATACACAGGTACATAATGATAGATCTGTAGGTTACTTCGCCATACTTCTCTACCCTACAACCTATATACTAGTGCATGTTATCGTAACTTTCTCGTCTCTCATATACACATGTACTAGTAATATAAAAGTGAATGTACAGTACAACTCTGTAAGTTTGAAACAAGATAATGGATACAAATACAATGTACTATCAGTAATAATTAACTGTATAGAGTATCATAATGGAGATTTATATACAGAACGTTTCAGGGCCATAAGCCTGAATTAATAGTCAATTTACCAGTTTTGTCAGCATCACCAAAACTAACAATAGATCTATAAGTATGTAAGTAAAGTATCACAAAATTATATTGACAGAAAACTTATAAATCCCCATTGTTTGATGTTAACTTTGAATTAATTAAAGAAATCAGTAATTTTATTACAACACAACACTATCTTGTAGACAAGTTGTGTTTCTAAAGAAGATTTGTTGATTTACTGTGAGGTGGGGAGGAACAGGTACATTAGAATCAATTGTATTTTTGCATCACAAAGATAAGGTCATGATAATGGATTTCAATAAAAAGTGATTTTTAAATAACCTGACATTTTAACAACCATAATTTACAAATTGACAAAAGCGCTGACATGTCAATTTCACGTTTCTCACCAGTGAACATGCATATAATCACTCCATAACATTTCAGTCAATTCTCAAATAAAAAAACAAGATTAAATAACATTTTACAGCAATTCTCAACTACAAAAAACAGAGATTACATAACAGGTGCGATTTCTAGATGTGACTAGATCTATTTACTAACACACAGCCGTGTACACAGTGAGAATAAACTAGATCTATTTACTAACACACAGCCGTGTACACAGTGAGAACAAATGTTAACAATAGGTAAAATACAGAAATGTTCATTTCACTATTTCACCAACAGAAGGAGATTTAACCCAGTTTGAAAGACGAGGCAGCAAAAGTATTGGTATTATAAGAAAAAGAAGATAAAGAAACAATTATTAAATAAAGTGAAATTGAATTATGCAATTTTAATTGAGTTTGAAATAATGATGCTCACCAATGGTATTAGATAATCCTTGTTACCCATTTTTTAAATGACCCTTAGCTGTTAAAAGGATGTTCAGCAACATTTAACCAAATCTAAAAAAATTTTACATTTTTTAACACAAAACAAAAGATAATTGTGATTTCTCCACAGTTCCCATTTTAATAAGACTTGATGTCAATAACAGACTTATTCAGCTTTTAGCAATTTTAACAAAATATGCAACTCAATAGAGAATGATTCATCTTGGAAAACAACTTAATGCTTAAATGGTAACACACAAACATAATTTCTCACAATCGTAAAAACACAAGCGACATATTACCGGGATATAACTGTCATAAAAATAACAAGAAAATTTCTCAACTTCTTAACAAATTATTTCAAATAATTACAATGTTCCATGTCTAAAACCCAACAAAACAACACAGGATTCAAATAACAAAGTCTCGTTAGTGTTTATAAATATGAATTAGAATTCACAATTTCAATAATTTCAAACTAACAATGAAGGAGTTATGGCTTTAACAGTTCCGACACTGACTGGGGAGATAACAAGCACCAAATGTAACAGTACAACACTCACCAGGTAGAGAAATAATGTAACGGTACAACATTCACCAGGTAGAGAAATAATGTAACAGAACAACACTCACCAGATAGAGAAAAAACGTAACAGTACAACACTCACCACCTAGAGAAATAATGTAACAGTTCAACACTCACCAGGTAGAGAAATAATATAACAGTACAACACTCACCGGATAGAGAAATAATGTAATAGAACAACATTCACCAGGTAGAGAAATAATGTGACAGTACAACACTCACCGGATAGAGAAATAATGTAATAGAACAACATTCACCAGGTAGAGAAATAATATAACAGTACAACACTCACTAGATAGAGAAATAACGTAACAGTACAACACTCCCCAGATAGAGAGAAATAAGGTAACAGTAATACACCCACCAGGTAGAGAAATAATGTAACGGTCCAACAGTCACCAGGTAGAGAAAGAATGTAACTACACACAACTCACCAGATAGAGAACTAATGTTACAGTACAACACTCACCACCTAGAGAAATAATGTAACAGAACAACACTCACCAGATAGAGAGAAATAATGTAACAGAACAACACTCACCAGATAGAGAAAAAACGTAACAGTACAACACTCACCAGATAGAGAAATAATGTTACAGTACAACACTCACCAGGTAGAGAAATAATGTGACAGTACAACACTCACCAGATAGAGAAATAATGTAACAGTACACCACTCACCAGATAGAGAGTAATAATGTAACAGTACACCACTCACCAGGTAGAGAAATAATGAAACAGTACAACACTCACCCGATCGAGAAATAATGTAACAGTTCAACACTCACCAGGTAGTGAAATAATGTAACAGTACACCACTCACCAGGTAGAGAAATAATGTGACAGTACAACACTCACCTGGTAGAGAAATAATGTAATAGAACAACATTCACCAGGTAGAGAAATAATGAAACAGTACAACACTCACCCGATCGAGAAATAATGTAACAGGACAACACTCACCAGATAGAGCAATAATGTAATAGTACAACATTCACCAGGTAGAGAAATAATGAAACAGTACAACACTCACCAGATAGAGAAATAATGTAACAGTACACCACTCACCAGATAGAGAAATAATGTAACGGTACAACACTCACCAGATAGAGAAATAATGTAACAGTGAGTTATAGAGAACAGGTATATAAAGAACAGTGGGAAACAGGTCAGAGAAGTAAAGAAATACTGCACTCGGAAACAAAACTATTGCCACAGGAAAAACAAAAACGATTTTATTAATCTTAAGCCTGGAGCTATTATGTAACTGATAATATTTGTTAGAATACATTCACTCATTTATATAATGTTGTTTAAATAAAAGTGGGGTCAAAGCATCTGTTAAGATGTCTCCAACGTTTGAAGAGGTGGTCAATATTTGAATATTAAAACAATCTTGCTGTCTGTATGTAGTAATCGTTTTGACAATAAAGATTGTAAATGTAATAAAAAAGACAAATATCCTGAAATCTTGTATAAATTAATAAGTCAACCATAACAGATGCTTTGATCAATTAAATCACAGAATTAGATTAGATCTAAGTCTGTGATTAAATTAATAATTCAGATAATTTTATAAATTAATTTCAGCATCATTCAGTAATTAATAAAAACAAGAACAGCAATACACTGCAAAATATTAACATTAAACTTAACAAGTGAATCTTTCTGAATAAGTAACATCAATGTCAGAAATCAAATCTGAATAGCTATTCCACACGTCATCACAACATTTCTGATGAATCCCAGTAACCTGATAACAAGTTCTTCCATTACAGAATTAAAGCTTAAAGATTCTCGATGTAAACTGGCTCCTAACAATTCATACTTAATATATAACAAAAGCAGAAAACTGGCTACTCTTTGTATCACATTTTCATCTTTATATCACAGCTGAATCATAAATATTACCAACTTTAAATCTCAAAAATGATATTAAGTAAAAAAATCAGTATGTCAATGATCGCAATTTGTTAAATTGACCTCTAACCTCTATGACCCTGAATATAACCAACACTCATGTGGAACATTTGCATAATTTTTCATTGTGATTATTGAAAACACAATATGAAAGTTCATATCAGACCTATAGTTACATGTACACACAAACGAACTATAAAATGTCACAATAAATAGTGATTTTGTCCCAAAATGCAAAGCAGAAAGTAGCTTGGGCAGGGTTCATGACCAAAAGGTGGCAGTATCACAGCCTAGTGCTTGTGCAGATTAAAGCCCAAAGACCTGTTCACCCCTCCAGGGCAGTTCGGATGGCTTGTTCCAGCAATGTGATCCAGTTAAACTTGTCCTCTTCACATGAGGTACAACAGAAGAGCTCCTTATTTGGGGTTTCCATCTTGAACCCATTTTGAATGTCTGAAATTAGAAGACAAAAGTAACAGATAATAATACCAATCTAACATTAAAGATGGACAAACAAAAGTTAAGGATGGCCCCCAAATATGGATATGGGGAACAACATACATGGAAATGCAAAATTAAAGCCAGCTACCAAACAGCTACAATACACAGACAAACACACTTTGGAGAAGGTGGCACGAAGCATAAACAAACTTTGGAGAAGGTGGCACCAAGCATATACAAACTTTGGAGAAGGTGGCACCAAGCATAAACAAACTTTAGAGAGGGTGGCACCAAGCATATACAAACTTTGGAGAAGGTGGCACCAAGCATAAACAAACCTTGGAGAAGGTGGCACCAAGCATAAACAAACTTTGGAGAGGGTGGCACCACGCATAAACAAACTTTGGAGAAGGTGGCACGAAGCATAAACAAACTTTGGAGAAGGTGGCACCAAGCATAAACAAACTTTGGAGAAGGTGGCACGAAGCATAAACAAACTTTGGAGAGGGTGGCACCAAGCATAAACAAACTTTGGAGAAGGTGGCACCAATCATATACAAACTTTGGAGAAGGTGGCACCAAGCATAAACAAACTTTGGAGAAGGTGGCACCAAGCATAAACAAACTTTGGAGAAGGTGGCACCAAGCATAAACAAACTTTGGGGCAGCACCATTTTACATACTATATACTGGTTGAGTTGCTTAAACTTAAAATACCACCATAGTATTAAAATGAGAAGATAAATTGGCCTTGGATGGCATATGACAAATACAAGCCATTTGGACTAAAAAAAAAATCACAACACCAGATGGGTTTTGTCACCTGACGACACCGGACAAGACACAGGGACGCTGGTACACTTAGAATCTGTGTAATATCACTACTAGACAACGACAGACATGTCCAGGGAGGTCCTAGAAGTACTGTTAGGGTCGAAGTTAAGATTCAGTAGAAGGAAGATGAAATCTGAACAGAAGTCCTTCCAACAGTTGAAGTCCTCTATTCAGAAATAATCTCAGTATCTTTGTAAACTCCATTGTACAATTCAGTGGTTAAAAGGTACAGTAAGACAGCCAACATAAAGTAGAGCAGGATACAAACAGGCTGAATCACTGATTCTAAGGTTAATATTTTCTCTTACAATTGTTTTGCTGTTCAACTTTATCAGCTTATGAGAGAAAGAAGAAGATGCAAGTGGTGAGATTTAGATTCTTTTGTGTAATGATCAAATGTATAGGTAAATTTACCCCTAACTACCACCACAATATAACATAGTATTTTTTTTTTTATATCTTTACAAGATACAAGAAACTTTATTCAAAGTTGCATACATGCAAACAAAGAACATTAGCTCTTGAGAGCTATTATTGCAACAAACATATGAAAATTGAATTTTAGTAATTGAATTATGGTTTGTGCTCCACAGAATAAAACTGTCAAATATAAAGTGAATTTTTAAGTTTAATTTCACCATCAAATCAGTTTAATATGCAAAATTTACAGATCCTTCAGCCATTTTTATATATATATTTTTTTTTATTAAACTTCATATAGGTAACAAGTTACACTTACATATGCTATCATAAATATATCAACACAGGACTCTAAAGTTAAATCAGAATCCGTACAGAATATACTGGGTAATGTAAAAAATACTTCTGCTTTTCAGTGTTTTTGCTTGATTGCACAAATTGAATATGTGGAAGGTACAGTAAAAACAGAGGTCATAAACAGTGGTCATACACAACACTCATGACTTGTGCTCCTCTACATAGGACTGACACGGCACTCATGACTTGTGTTCCTCTACATAGGGCTGACACGGCACTCATGACTTGTGGTCCTCTACATAGGGCTGACAAAACACTCATGACTTGTGTTCCGCTACATAGGGCTGACAAAACACTCATGACTTGTGTTCCTCTACATAGGCCTAGGGCTGACACGGCACTCATGACTTGTGTTCCTCTACATAGGGCTGACACGGCACTCATGACTTGTGTTCCTCTACATAGGGCTGACAAGGTTGATCTCTCCCTTTGATAACTGAACATGGCCGAATGGAAAAGGATGTGATTCTGACAGGTGAATTTTACCTTGACCTTTCGACCTGGCCCGTTTATTCTCTGTTAATGTGATTCATCCCCAAACAAATTTCAGCTGACTTGTCAAAAAATACAATATTTTATGCAATTGGGAGTGTTTTAGTTTGACACTATGAAATATTACCACACAAAAATATCCATAGCAAATCAGGACACTCTGATTAAAAAAGAATGGTTCTGATAATGGAAATGGCAGCAACCATCAAGTGTCAAAAATGTTTATAATACATTAGTATATAAAAATGTGTCACCTGTAAGACACTGATTCAACATGTCACAATTTCATGGTATAAACTATAAATAAACCAACTCAATAACTTTACCATAGATTATAAATATACCTGGGTATATACCCTAACTTTACCATAGATTATAAGTATACCTGGGTATATACCCTAACTTTATTGTCTCAAAGAAAACAGAAATTTGATTAAGATCCATTAAATGGCGAAATACTATATGAAGTATAGCAGAAGAGAATGTGAAGCTGGCTGAACTTTTCATATTAAAACGTTTTTACCTGAGTGTGTATTTATGCATACATCTACCTGAAAACATCAGGGCTTTGTTCACTGGTATCTTCCTAGCTACACCTGATAAGCAGGGCTCATGAAATGACTCAGAACTTTTTAAACATAAATTTGCATATAATTCATTACGTGTAATATATTTAGATGAACGCATAGGCAATACATTTTTTTTTTTACAAAAAACATCTACATTTAGGTAAGACAACTCATTAAAGTCTTTGATCAAATGGGGAACGAGCTATATGACACGACATTTCCAATTGTAGTTTAATGTGTGCATTATCTTTGGTCGATTATATTGAGTCCCAGACATGTTTATTTCAGTGCAGTTATTATCATAAAATAAACACCAATTACAATTTTAGTCACTAATCTCCTAAATACGTTTCCAGCCTGATTAACAACAAGTCAATGTAACAACAAATCTAGTACAGTTAAACAAGAGGCCCATGGGCCTTAACGGTCAACTGATATATTTATATAGAGAGTTGATTTTGTTTTTAACACGAACAGAAATATTATTCAAAGTGACAAAAAACCCAATAAAACCACCTTATTCAATATCTAGCATGCATACAGATTTAAGACTAAAAAGGATTTGAAACTAACACCTCTGATTCTAAACAAGGAAAATGAGGAAATTTTAGCACACTGACTCCTTTGGGCCCCACCCTACAGCCCTTGGGGGTAGGGCTGGCTCAAAGTATCAAATTGTCAACTCAGGGTTATGATTCCAATCAAGTTATTAACATGTAATATTCAAAGTATCATTTGCCATTATAAACCATAATAAATTTTGCCCCCCCCCTCTCCTTCCCCAGTGGGTAAACGTGAGACCCTAGGGTCATAAACCTTAAGACCCTTCCATCTATGAAGAGTGTTTGATTCTACCATATCTGGGTCTTTGAGAAGATTTTTGAAATTTCAGTCAATTCAACTCTTTTTGGCCCCACCCATCAGCCCCGGGGGTCAGTCAGGGCTCATATGTGCATACCATCAAACTGCTATCCAATACTGATAATGCTAACCTAAATTGAATTACTTCCAATGGAAATTAAACAAAAGTTGGTCCAAAATGTGATTTCCCTATATAAACTATAGTAAAGTTTACCCCCTCCCCAGGGGGAAACGTGAGACCCCAGGGTCATAAAATTCAAAATTTTGGTAGAGCACCTTAAGACCCTTCCATCTATGAAGAGTGTTTGATTCTACCATATCTGGGTCTTGAGAAGATTTTTGAAATTTCAGTCAATTCAACCCTTTTTGGCCCCACCCATCAGCCCCTGGGGGTCAGTCAGGGCTCATATGTGCATACCATCAAACTGCTACCCAATACTGATAATGCTAACCTTAAATGAATTACCTCCAATGGCAATTAAACAAAAGTTGGTCCAAAATGTGATTTCTCTATATAAAATATAGTAAAGTTTACCCCCTCCCCAGGGGGAAACGTGAGACCCAAGGGTCATGAAATTCAAAATTTTGGTTAAGCACCTTAAGACCCTTCCATCTATGAAGAGTATTTGATTCTACCATATCAGGGTCTTGAGAAGAAAATTTTGAAATTTCATTCAATTTGACCCTTTTTGGCCCTGCCCCTGAGGCCCCTGGGGGCTGGGGACCAAATCGGCCATTCTTTCAGTTGACTTTTGGCCATGGAAGGTTTCTGCAAAATTTCATTGAAATTGATTCAGGGGTTTTGGAGAAGAAGTCGAAAATGTAAATTGTTTACGGACGCACGACAGACGCTGGCGGACAAAAGGCGATCACAATAGGTGACCTAAAAACATTAACCAAAATAACATACAGCAGTTTCCAACTTTTCACAATAAATAAAGAAAAACATAATTGTAAATAAAAACCAAAATAATTCTGAAATGTCTCCATTAAGTAATATTTGTAATTCAATAATGAATTCAACCTTAAATTTTCTTTGCATTAAAGTCAATAGAAGTTTGATTCAAAAATAGTAATAAGTAATATGATGATATATAACCCCCAGTGAGAATGATGTCAAAAAGGCTTCAGTTCATTTTCAGGGTTATAGTGAAAATATGTAAAGAAAATCTTGATTTAACCATGACCTCAACAATTCTGCCTTATTTAAACTGAATGATTGGTAATAGACCTAACTTGTACAAATGAATTACAGTAACTTTATGGAACTCAATATATTTATCCCTAATTGTCAGCTGACGTCAAGGATCAAGGACATTTGACTACACTAGACTGTTGACGCACAAACAAAGATTAATGTATAATTCTGTTTGTCAGCATGTCTCTGTAGTATGCTGAAGGTCTATAAATACAAATGTTTATCAGAGAGACCCATTCTCCTAATTTAGTACTGCATTTAACCCTTCGATGACAAATTAG